TACGTATGGTATGAAAAGGAGGACAGCGGCGAGGAAACACGACATCTGCCTGGCGACATGTGACACGCTCAGGGTTGTGTGCCATAATGAGTGTTTTGTGTAAGAGCGATACAAGCCTAAATTAACAGTGAGGCACTGTGTGGGGGACGGGGGGGGACAATAAGACTTCACCTCAGGCTGCAGGAGCGCTGCCTGTTAGACAGACACACACCTCCACCTCCTCACGCCTCCTCCTCTAAACACCCACTCGCTCCAGGATCCTCACACTCTGGTTTCAGCAAAGGAGACTCAAAGAGTTGGATAAAAGGAGGTGCTGAAGACTGAAGCTCAGCAGGGGGCGGGGGAGAGGGGGGGGGGTGGAGGGGTTAGAGAAAAGGAGATCAGGACAGATGAGGAATTTCCAAATTCTGGCTCATGGACCAATCCTAGCACATCCAATAATGTTTGCGATGACTTTCCCAGGCTCAGACTTAGAATGAGTCTTTTTGGACACATTATTATCTTAGCCCTTTAAGATCATTTGAGTAATTTAATCAAATGTAACTTTTTTATTATTTATACTTAATAATTTCTTTATAATGGTTTTATTCTTCTTTGAATTTTTTTAAATTTTTGGGCCATTTTGCTGGTTGCTCCAACTTTAATTATTTCCGTGCTGCTGTAGTTTTAGCTTCTGTTTGCCTTTTTAGCTATTGATAACCTATTGCTATAGCTATACTGGCGCTACTTCATAGCAATGTGGTTTACTTTACACTTTTTTTTAAGCTTGCTTGTCATTTCACTCTTAACATTTTGCTTGTTTTGAGTTGGCCTGTGTGATAACCTATTGCTATAGCTATACTGGAGCTACTTCATAGCAACGTGGTTTACTTTACATGTCATTTCACTCTTAACCTTTTGCTTGTTTTGAGTTGGCCTGTGGTGATTTTATGCATCGTTAAGCTACGTTGGCTAACCTCTAGTATTTTTTTTTTTTTTTTGTTTAAGTTAAGCAATTCCTGGGCTAACCTTGGGTGACCTTTGCAATGATTCATTGCTTTGGCTGCCGTTTATCTAGCTTCTTTTCCATTCTTTGGTATTATATGTAAAAAATGAAAAAGTCAGAACATTTTTTAGTCATCTAATGTCTGAAAATGTATTTCTAGTAAAAGCTCTTAAGACTCAAAATAAATGATTAAATCTTGCTCATTTGCATCGTTCCCTCCTACAGTGGTATGATTTGAAAGAATCCATATTAAACATTAAACATATCAATATCTCGAGTTTATCTCCGTCTGAGTTTCTGTGTGATCTGAGCAAAGCCCCCGGCCATTCTGTCCACTCCTCTTTCATCCTCCTCTTGTCTCTCCGTCTCTCCGTGTCTCCCAGTCTTTCGCCCCCCCCCACTCTCCTGTTATTTCTCAGACCCCTACTAACTGCGTCTGTTTTTCCTGTTTTAATTCAAATTCAAATCAATCAAAAATAAAAAAAATAGATGAAAGGAAAAGTATCAAAAATAGCTTTAACTGTTAGCATAGACTTTGGATCAGACCCGCTGAAAAAACAACCCATGCTGGTGTCAAAATGTCATCTTGCCATCAAACATCCACTGCCTTCACTGTTATCCTCTGAATCAATTTTGAATTTAGAAGACCCCAGACCAACATTAGAGCAGAATGGAAGCATCAAAACTAATCATCTTTGGCCGTTTATTTCTGTCACTCTCTTATTAACAGTGACGCGTCCTCTGCTCTGCAGCACAAACAACACAGCCACACACAACCTTCTCTCCGCGGGGTCAGTGCACTCAGTGGAAATGATCATGCTGCGTCACATGTCCTGACATTCATGTATCACCGCTTTTAAAATAAAAACAGAGGAGTCTGTGGGAGTGTATCTCCTCCCCCCTTCTATCTCCCTTTTTCTCTCTCTCTCTCTCTCTCCTCCTCTCGTTGTTCATTATTTTGCACGACTGTCAGGAGGCGCCCACTTATTTAATTCAAACCCACACACTCATTCATTTTGTGCAACTCATATCTTTGTGTGTGTGTGTACGTGTCTGTCTGAATTCATGTGATTGCACTTGTGTCTTCACTCGAATCCACGCTGACGTTCACTACTCCTGACCCATACCTTCAGGAATTATATCTTAATGGCACGATAAATCACTGTGGATTAGCAGAAACAATGCAGCGCAGCCAAGTGGAACAGATGGGGCTCAGTGCTGTGTGTGAGAGAGAGAGAGGGAGAGGGGGGGAGAGAGAGAGAGAGAGAGAGAGGGAGAGGGGGAGAGAGACAGAGAGAGAGAGAGGGAGAGGGAGAGAGGGAGAGAGAGAGAGAGGGAGAGGGGGAGAGAGACAGAGAGAGAGAGAGAGAGAGAGAGAGGGACCAGCAGCTGAAATTCCTGTGACCTTGACGGTGAGCAAACAGCGTTCATTCAGCACCATGGACAGCTCTCAGACATGTTTCACATACAAAAACTGCACAAACATTAAAGCTCAGAAAGAGCAGAGGAGTCAACTTTTATTCTGATTCTTATCTGTGATATCATTCAAAGTTTTAGCACACTTTTCCCTTGATAACAGTTGAAATTGTGTTTTATGTGTTTATTTGGGCTGGACTAGTCAAACAGTACCGTGAATGTTCAAAAACCCCTTTACAGATGGATTTATCTGAAGGAAATCGCTGCTACCTCAGTAACTGTAGTACTTGAAGGTACACTAACTACAGGCTGTAACACCCACTCACAATTACCACGGCAACAACCCTTAGAAACACAAACAGTACGATTGGCCAATCATTGCCGTACAGGACACAGCCATTGGTGGATGCTCCTTTTATACCTGATCATATAATTACACTGTAGCCTACATAGTTAGGACCTACACAGCAGGACACTGTTTGTTTTACTCTACTCTACATTGAGCGTACTGCAGTACTAGAAATAGAGTTTGGAGTTAGTACCAAGATGAGGCAACTGACAACTTAAAAAATGACACTGTTTCAGATACAAAGTAAAAACAGTCCCCAAAGAGAAGGCCGATGGGTAATCTAAACAAAGGGCCCTATGATGGACTGAAGTCCAGGGTGAAACCCTGCCCTCTGCCCAATAACTGCCGACAGTGGCAGCAGCTCCCGCTGCGAAACTGAAAAGCACTGAGCGATAGAAGACAGATGGATAAATGTGTTTTTGTCAATTGCTACAGAGTGAGGAGTTGTTGCGGCTACTGTGCGACGGTGTGTGTTATCTTCTCTCTACACATGCACCTGCGAAACTGCTGCCTCATTCTGGGCCTAAAAACAGATCGGTTACAGAAACACCCAGTTCTCCACTCACTCCACATTCCTAAAATGCAAAGAAAATCACTCCGAAAAATAGAGCACCGCAACCTGGTGGGGCAACAACTCAGCCGAGGAGACGAACCATCGTTCAACTAAACTTATGCTTCCAGTCGCCCAAAGAGCATTTCATCTCCGACGACCAGTGACAGTCTCCCCCTGGTGCAGAATTAATAAACCACCGCTGCTGCTGTTAAAATGCCAGCCAGGCTCCTCCAAATCAATATCCATTAAGTATTCAATTGATTTAAGAGGGCCCCAACTTGATGAATAATGAGAAAATACAGAAGAAGCTTAAATTACCCCTCAGAAAATTAGGCCTTGCGTAGTTCTGTCAGGGAATATTAAGAAGATCAAAATAAAACTGGGAGGAGATGGACACGGGAGAAGAGTTTCACTTTATATTACTGTGGTCATTTCATCTTAAACTGTCAGGTTCACTATACACGCGCTAGCATTAGCACAGCGTTAGTGTTGGATGATCATATTTTGTCTGGTTAAATACTTCAGCTATATTGGTGTGTACTCTATTGGTCTTGACTAGGGATGTCCGATAATATTGGTCAACTGTTATTATCGGCCCGTTATTAGCATATTATGTAACATCGTAATCAGTTTTTCCCCCGATAATGGAAACCCGATCACGCAAATTATGGGTTTCACCAAATGATGTCTGCCCTAAAATAGGTTTGGGGATAAATGGCTGTATATTAAAGTGAAAGTCACTAGATGGCAGCATTGCAGCTCATTTAATTAATCTTATACTCATACAGTGGTTTGTACAGATAAATAAATAAATATTACCAGGCCTATATCGGTATAGGTTGACACCGGATTCAGTGTTTGGACAATTTCGGAATATCAGATATCGGACATCCCTAGTCTTGAAACAACTTTTTTTCTTTTTTTTTTATTTCATGGACGGGTTGTAACTCCTACTGCAGCATGTTAAGCAAATAAAACACCTCCTGACAAGACCACTAGGAGCACTGTACCATCCTAACTCATACGTGGGTCAACAAAAGCCGCCCGGGATCAACACAGAGCCTCCTGAAGTGCCATGAAGTCAGTGTTGTATATTTGTTCAGATATTTATCATACAACTTATAAATGTTACACCACTAGTCTCCTGCTCATTTTCACCAGTGAAGATCAAGTTAACAATTCTCATGTCACGTCTTCAAAAACATTTTTAACTGCAAGCCTGTATGTGACCACTTGGGGCTCTGCAGAGCCATGGCAGATTAGACTTGAGACTACAATGTATTCATTCAGTGGTTATGATGGTAAAGGAGATGCAGACACAGGACAGTGTCACTGCAGATGGAAATACTAATATAAACCTGTAATATTTTCATCTGACTGATGAAGTTTTTATATTTATAAATTAATGATTTCAGAACTTTCTTTTTTGTTTTGTTTTTTGTAAAGATGCTGACAAAGTGTTATTTTAAAAACAAAATATGCGTGACTAAAGACCAGAAAGAAAACACTAGTGTTTGCTGCAAGGATGTTCTTCTCTACCAGGGTCACTGAAGGTTGAGTCTTTAATGGGACTGGCAATGAAATGTGACAGTGAAGTGAAATATTGTCACTCTTTCTGACACGGTGCCAAGATGAACTTATTAAAAACAGAATATACAGACAGACTGGTAGGAGAGGAAACAGCTACAGATACTCACTCAGCCTTCCTGGCCAGACCCACTGAGCGGCACAGAGTGGTGGGAGTCTGCGGGACCAGGGACTTGCAGCAGGGGCTCCTCTTGTCCTCCTCAACAGAGTCCGGGCTTTTTTGGCTCGTTTTTGGAGACTGCGGGGAGGTGGGGACGAGCTGCAGCTGCTGGGGGTGGTGGGAGGACGGTGCAGGAGGTGTCGGCTGCTGCTGCTGATGATGATGATGCTGCTGATGCTGCCGCTGCTGTTGCTGGGGGGGGGGCTGGTGCT